CCATCCAGAGGCAGGGGATGGCACTGTCCTCGGTATTGGCGTGCGGGTCGCTGGAGACTCTCACACAGCATCCCACGGTCCGCAGATTCCTCGGCACGATCAATTTATGTACCCCGGTGGTACACAGGTACCGTACATGGGACCTGTCCAGGGTCTTAAACTCCCTCACTGGGGCCCCATACAAGCCATTAAGATATATGTAAGGTGGCATTGCTTGTGGCCATTATATTGGCCAGGAGGATGTCTGAGCTGGCAACTCTGTCAGTGAAGCAAGACCTGTGTATTTTTCACACAGATAGAGTGACTTTGCAGTTGGATCCCTCCTTCATACCCAAGGTGAACACCTGGTTCCACAGGGCACAGGAACTGATATTGCCTAACTTCTGCCCTGACCCAGTCCACCCCTTGGAGAAAAGTTGGCACACCTTGTACATAAGGGCCCTCCGCATCTATGTTAAATACACTGCTGACCTAAAGAAAACAGAGTCCCTGTTTGTCTCATTCCAGCCAACCATGTTGAGCAACAGGGTCAGCCCTTCCATTGTGGGACGATGGCTTAGGTCCACCATCACCAAGGCCTATGAACTGCAGGCCCTGCCGAGACCTACCCGGATAATAATAATAATAATAATAATAATTTTATTTCTATACCGCCCTTCTCCCGAAGGACTCAGGGCGGTGTACAGCCAATTTAAAAACACAAGACACAACAATAATTAAAAATTAAAATAATTAAATAGATTTGGCCGATTTAAAACCCCAAAAATTAAAATACCCCAATTTAAAATTATTATATTGACAGCCCTGCCTGGCGGAACAACAGGGTCTTCAGTGCGCAGCGGAACACCCAGAGGTCGGAGATCTTACGTATTTCCGGGGGCAGTTCATTCCACAGGGTTGGGGCTCCCACAGAGAAGGCCCCCCCCTGGGTGTCGCCAGCCGACATAACTTGGCTGATGGCACCCTGAGGAGACCCTCTCTGTGGGAACAGACTGGTCGGTGGGAGGCTATTGGTGGCAGAAGACGGTCTCGAAGGTACCCGGGTCCTGTGCCATGGAGCGCTTTAAAGGTGGTAACCAATACCTTGAATCGCACCCGGAAGACCACTGGGAGCCAGTGCAGCTCGCGCAGGAGGGGTGTCACGCGGGCACAACGAGGTGCGCCCTTAACCACCCGCGCGGCCGCATTCTGGACCAGCTGGAGCCTCTGAGTGCTCTTCAAGGGGAGCCCCATGTAGAGAGCATTACAATAGTCCAGCGGGGAGGTGACAAGGACATGAGTGACCGTGCGCAAGGTGTCCCAGTCCAGAAAGGGCTGCAACTGGCGGATCAGGCGAACCTGATAAACATGTGCATGTATGAGAAGAGCTGCCAGAAGGCAGGAGTAGCTAAAGCAGAGAGGGCGACTTGGGAGTAGGGCCAAGAGATGATTGGCCCTTCCCATAAGGCTTAAAAGACCAGCAGAGGCTCTTTGCCTCTTTGCCAGAAAACAACCATTGAGAGATTTGTTTCATGTTTAGATGTATTTCTTTTTTGCCAGTGTCTTCTGTTCCTGAACTGTTGTCAAGAAAAGCCTTTGACAATTTGCCTAATTATCCCAAGGTCAGAGATAAACTCAAAGTTTTGAGAACTTTGCTTTCATTTAATTTGGAAAAAGCTGAGAATAGTTAATTCTCAGCTGTTTTAATAAAATCTGTTTGTTTTTTGGAACTGGTTTGCATTTAATATTAACTGCGTGGGCCTTGGTCACAACAGACGTGGGCATTGCAGGCCTCTATATAGGAGGTCTATCGAGCAGCAACTTGGTCCTCTCCTTCCCCTTTCATCAAGCACTATAAATTGGACATCTTTGCCTTGGCGGAGGCGACATTTGGCTGGTGAGTGCTTCAGCGTGTCCATATGGAGGAGGGGACTTCGGACCAGACTGCAGCCCACTCATAGGACAGCCAGCTTTGGTCTTACTGACATGCTCCTTCTCGTTGGGTGGAGATAGCATCCAGCCCCACCCTGGAGACCGTCTAGTCCTCGTTCCGGGAGGGAAGGATCTTTGAGCAAGACACTTCGAGTCTGTCACTTCGTCTTCGCCAAAAGCTGGGGAGCCCTAGCAATAGAGGTGTGTCTTAACATCTCTGACAGACTCAGTCCAATCAGCTAAGAAGACAAGGTCAACCCATTCCTGGATGCTATCTCCACCCAACAAGAAGGAGCATGTCAGGTAAGACCAATGCCCCCTTCTTGAAGAGAGTAATATGTGTGAAGGGGGACATAAACACATACCCACTTATAATCTATACGTACATTCTGTGCTTTTGTTTTTATATTACTGTGTATTTATTTATTTAGTTATTTACCGTAGTTATTTAGTTATTCATTTCAGAAAATTCATATAGCCACCCAGTTTCTTATAGCGACTCTAAAAACAGTGCAGCTAGTGAGGCTTTTCTGATAACAATCTCATGCCTGGAAGATCAGTAACTATCATATTCAAGTTTCAAGTATCTTGGCATCTAATTCCAGGCATCTTCTCCTTGAAAACATCATTCTTTATCTCTTTAATAATGAGCCCAAACCTCATATAGTGAAATTATGAAATATTCAACCCATAAAGGTAATAATTATGTGGAACGGCGTGATAGCATCGTGGGGAAGACTCTCATATCCCACTCAGAATATTAAGAGTTCAATACTAGGTAGCGTCAGAAGTTTCTCTCCTAGGGTGCAAAGAAAAAATACCTGCTGCGAACTCCATGTAGGCATCAGAAAGGGCCAGTAAACTCTCACCTCCATCCAGTCACTCTGACTCTATCCCGAATTAAGAAACTCCAGGGTCTTAAAATGAGAGTTTTTAAAGGATAACAATTATGTGCCTGTAGCAATTTAATTTTTTGAAACCAATTTGCTGAATATTTTGCTGATTAGCACACAATGTTGCATTTACAAGGACAACTATGCCTTTAATTTAAATTTCTGAGATGCTTGCTTTGAGTTCCTATTTTGTTTGTAATATGCTTGTCTAAGTAGAACTTGGCTCTATCTGAGATGAGGCTCGATTACAATTTTGCCAATTGAGAGGTTTAAATAAATTTTGAGAGGTAAATCACTGGTTCTATTTTTTTTTTAATTTGATTTATATGCCGCCCTTCTCCAGAGACTCAGGGCGGCTTACAATGCGTTAAGCAATAGCCTTCATACTTTTGTATATTTATACAAAATCAGCTTATTGCCCCCACAAACTGGGTCCTCATTTTACCTACCTTAGAAAGGATGGAAGGCTGAGTCAACCTTGAGCCTGGTGAGATTCAAACTTACAGTAATTGCAGACAGCTGGTGTTAATCACAATGCTTTTAGTCTGCTGAGCCATCAGGCCCTATTAATTCTGACAGGCAGAAGCTTTCATTAAAAGAACAAAAATGGATAACCTGGCACATTGTATTCATTCTAGGCTTGAATGTAACCTGAGAAGTTTAAATTTTGATTTACAAGGAGATAAAACCAGCAGTTCTCATCACTGTATCATTTATTAATTACATCTCACAGGAGGGCCTTCAAATTGGTATACTTGGAATGGTCTCCCCCAATAGTACTGATGGAGGAAAACAATAGTATCCCTTGCTAAGAGTATTCATGTATTATTTCAGACTTTCAATAGATATGAAGTACTGAATTTATCAGTTTTGGAGAGCAGAGTTAATTTCCCTCCTATTAAAACTATCCAAATAGTTATCATATGCCACATGTTCTCTACTTACTAAAGAACTAAAAGTCTTCAATATTGAACCAACTTTTGTAACATTGCTATATCAGTTAGAAGTTTTTGTACGGGCATGGTTTTTATTTGTTGTTTTCTTTTTAAATTAGTTGAACTGTAATGTATTTTTAACTTGTATATGTTTTGACTTTGGCCTTATTTCATAAACTGCAATTTACTAACCAATAGGATTAGGCAAGGAATGTTGGCTGATGCGGACCAGGAGACATATTTTTTCTATCATAGTACCTACCTCTGAAACATCCTTCCAATTAGGGTGGCTCTGCCTCTGTTGGCCATTCAGAAGGCCTTGAAGACCTGGCAGCGTACCAGTCCTGGGAACCTGAGGGTGTGAAGGGCCACATTTCCTTCTGTAGTTGTGTTGACACTGACAGATTATAATATTTCTTGGCTGCTATTTGTATTTAATATCTTTCTTGTATTGCGTTTTATCCATTTTAATTGTTTTTATGATTGTTCGCCACCCAGAATCACTGATTTGAAATGGGCAGCATATAAATTGAATAAGCAAATAAATAATTCATGGCTGTTATGGAAATTTAGTGGTTAGGCTTCATGTCGGTGTAATGCTGTCTAGTTTCCAAATTTAGACTGCATTTAGATTGATACCTAATACATACCTTCTTTCATTGCCTTTCCTTTTCTGTCTGTTGTGTAGCTAGCAATATTGTATAGGCCTCTACAGACACTTTTTTGCTTCCTGCTTTTCATCTCATCTCTAGTTTCTAAACCAATTGTGCACTTCTGCTATTAACCTTCAATTAGAAAATATGCCACGCTGTATATATTACTTAATAATAAATAATGCTTGGTGTTTTAAAAACGATTTTAAATTTAGTTGTATAAAGAAGAATAGAAGTTTATCACATTAATATCTTAATTATTGATAGAAATTGTATTTTGTTGAATGTGCTTTTGAGAAAGATTGGTTACGTTCTTACTTGATTTCAAACTATCTAAACTTTGAAAAATAATGTATATTTTATGGCCAATTTCCCTAAGCAAAGGATTCTTTTTATTCTATTCTATTTATTTTTTTACTTCTAATTATCTTCAATGAAAAGGGAAAAAGGCAAAAAAAAAATTTGACAATAAATTTTTGTGAAATAAATTCTGGTATAAAGACTTTATTTGATGCTCCATAAGAGTTATGTCAAATTAGAAAATATTAGGGAAGAGTTTATACTTAGATGTAAACATAAACCTAGTTTTTTCTCTCATTTTATTCCAGACCAATCTTTCCATATGGGGATGGGGAAGCCTTGTTGTTCTGCTTTTTCTAATTACATTTGGACCATTTGCTATATTTTACTTTGCATTTTATATCCTCTGCTCTGTGGGTGGGTAAGTATATCATTTGATTTGTTGAAGAAATGTTAAAATTAAGATTGACAGTTAATGATAATTATTATTATCATTAACTCTATTACTGTCATTATTCTATTAAATTAAATTGACATGTCACCTAACTCCCAACAGCTTTCGGCAATTATAAAGAAAAATACTGAAAAAATGTAATAATGGACAAAAATTAAGAATAAATCTGAAAATATAGTATTGTATGAGATTATATTGTACCTGAAGCAAGCTGGTAACCAGTGCATCTTATGAAGCTGTGATGGTTACAGGGGCATCATTACTTTCTGGATGAGCTGAAGCTTGTTATCTTCAAGGTCTGCCCCATGTAAAGTATGTTACAGTAGTCAAGTCATGAGATAACTAGGACTTGACGGTTTGTCTGAAGGGAATGAAACATCAGATGAAGATGTGTAAAGGCCAACTTGTCTATAGTTATGATATGATATGAGCATTGTCCTACAATGTATTTTATATATATTATATAATTTATTGTATATGCATCAGTACATTTTATGTATGATGCACATTGTAGAGCAAGTTACAAGATATTACTGTGTTTCCCCAAAAATAAGACCTCATCTTATTTTGTTTTGGGTCTCAGAATAAGCACCAGTTCTTATTTTGGGGAGAAGTTTTACCTTAGGACCACTGCAGCCAGGCCTCCCACTGCCCAGCACCTGTCATACTGCTACCTGACTTCTTCTGTAGCGGCTCATGGCCAGATGCCATGTGGCTCATTATGTAGCCCTTGCAAGCTGACTCCAAGCTGTTTTTCAGCTGATTAAAACAGTTTTAATTTCTGGAGAATTTTTTTGGGTTGGTGGTGGTAAATAATGTTTTAAAAAGCTACTATCAGCTATCCTTTTTCTTTTGGCTAAACTCCTCTAAGTACACTCCAACCATTTCTACTTGACTGCCTTCTGAGAAGGCAGAAAAGAATGTGAGCCAAGTATGTATATGCTTTGCTGTTGCTTGCAACAGGAGGCTGCGTGGTGCATCATGCCAGTGCCATCGCTCATGGCAGGATGCTGGTTGGCACATTGAGTGGTGCAACTGCTTGCATGCGCAACAAAACAACACACCATGCAGCCTCCTGCTGCAAGCGGCGGCATACCATACGTATACTTGGCTCACATACTTTTTTGCCTTCTCAGAAGGGAAACGAGTAAAAGAAAGTGCAGTCCAATGGAAATGGTTGGAGTGCACTTAGAGGAGTTTAGCCAAAAGGAAAAGGATAGCTGATAGTAGCTTTTTATAACATAATTTCCATCCCCCCTAAAAAAAAGTTTAACTCCTAGAGTTAAACTTTTTAAACAGCTGAAAAACATCTTAGAGACAGCTTTTCAGCTCAGAGACAGCTTGCACAGGCTGTGCGATGAGCCGAGCAGCTGCAGAAATCAGGCAGCAGTGCGATAAGTGTCAGGGTGTGGGAGGCGTGCCTGCGGTGGTCCTAAATTAAGCAGGTGAGGGGTGCATGGGGCAGCTCCACCCCCCCCCACCCTGCCCTAGCTTGATTTTTTACATGAGCACCTCACCCTACCTTGTACAAACAGATTGAGGGTGGAGCTTAACTAGGGCTTATTTTGGGGATAGGGCTTATATTTAGGTGCATGTGTGAAAATCGGGCTAGGGCTTGTTTTCGGTGTAGGTCATATCCTTGTGGAAGCACAGTACATAAGCTATCATCTCTCTATGCATAACCTTAAATTTGGGGTCAAGGACAAACTGGTTGAAAATATAACGGAAATATGTAACTTATATTTCCCAAAGAGTCCAAAGTTTTTTTCCCCAAAGTTTTGCCAAGTCCGTTTAGCAATCTTTTATAAAGAACGCAAGCATCTTAAAAGATTTAAAATATATAAATATTTGTTACCTTCAACTTTTATGTATTCATTGAAACTATTTTCAGTTTTGTGAATAGTTATGATTATTCAATTGTGTATTTATTTAAAATTTGCTGTGAACAATGTTATGAAATTATAATAATTTTCAATTACCTCTAGAGGAACAAAGCTAATTTTAAAGGCATTAAGGAGAATTTAATTCTATCAACTGTGCTTCTTTAATAACAATGTTTTTTAAATATAAGCATTTAGCATCCTAATGGAACAATTGTAGGAATGACCTTAGAAATATGCATATATGAGTAATTGTTCTTCTATATTGTGAATATTAGTCACTACATTATCTCAAAGTTTGTTATATAATTTATTTTTTGAGGGGCTTTGTGGTAACACTCTTGTTTGGAAAAACTAATTCAGAGAAGTACCTCGAACAGTGTGAACACGCCTTTCTTCCTCCAACCTCATTTGGCATTAATAAGGTAAGGTACAAGAAATAAAAGCTGGCTTTATTTTCTATAAATTTTACCATATACTATTTTTCCCCAGTTTTATGGATAAGCAACATGTTTTCAAACAATTATTTAATGTCATCAATTACTGGCAATCAATGCATTTCTCTTTCAAAGTGAATATACAGTAGGTAGTCCTCAAGACCACAATTGAGCCCAAATTTTCTGTTGTTAAGTGAGACAATTTTTAAGTGAATTTTACCCCATTTTATGATTTTTCTTGCCACAGTTGTTGACTGAATCACTTCAAGTATTACTAATGTTTTAAGTTAGTAATACTGTTGATAAGTGAATCCGGATTCCCCATTGGTGATCACATGACCCCAAGACACTGCAACTGTCATAAATATGAGTCAGTTGTCAAGCATCTGAATTTTGATCACGTGACATGGGGATGCTGGTCATAAGTGTGAAAAACAGTCATAAGTCGTTTTTTTCAATGTCTTTGTAACTTTGAATGGTCACAAAATAAATTGTTGTAAGTCAAGGACCACCTGTATTGGATAAAGGGAGAAGTTGGATTACCAACAAAATTGAAGCAACAACTGACTTTGGGTAATGTTACATTTACCTAAAGTGTAAAATAGGCTATTAATGGATTTTTAGCCTTTGTGATTGAAGTGCAGTTAACATTTTGGTTCAAAGAGTCTTTTACCAGCTTTTTTTTAATTTGTCAATTGTAACTATCTAAAAAAATAATAATTTTTCTGAAGTTTCAAAGCTCTAATTTCATCAGTGGTAATTACTATTACTTCATCGCATAGCTCAACTCCTTCTGCTCTTATAGAACCTTGCTTCTGAGCCCCTTTACTTCTTACCTAGGGCAATATTAGAATCACCAGAGAAATTATCTTTTTACCATAATTGCAGTTACCGTATGTGCGCTTTGCTCACTAATATGCTATCACTGATAAAATGTTAAGACTTTTGAATCATACATATTTTATATTTGCCATTTGACCTCTTGTTTTGCTCACTATAAGCATGGGGCATTTTTCTGGATTCTGTTCTGTTTCTCTCTAAGGTCCTGATTCTGCCCCGCATCAAGGAAGTCTGATGACTGATCTTTAAAAAATCTTGCCAGAGAAGTTCTCTTTGTACTTCACTCTCTGGTGCATGTTCTCACCCCTATCACATATATGATAAGATGGAGAGCATACTTCTAAGCCCACTGATCACAAGGGGCAGATCTAGGCATGTAGTTTCATGAATCTGAGCATTTCATTTTGGAGGGCATTCTGTCTCCATATCCAAAGCATTTGGGTTATATTAGATAGTTCTACCACATAGAATGGATCCCTTTTTTATATATTTCCATGTAGACTTTTGCTTGTTGGAAGTCAGCAGAAAGTCACAGGGAAGTCCTCACTTAACAACATGCTATCCTTAAAACTAACAACAGGATTTCAGGTTACTGTTGCTAAACTATGCAGTCATGTAGCATTGTACTTTATGACTGCTTTGCTTAGTAATAGAAATTCCACTGCCGATTATTGTTGATAGTTGAAGATTAACTAATGCCATATATTAGAAATCTCTAAAATTTTGTTTTAGGCAATCAGATAATTTTTACTATACTTACGGTCTCTCTTTCATCCATCTGATTGTAGAAATGTAGCCTAATGAAAAGTTCGGAAGTTTTAAAAATGTGTGTATTTTTGTGATCTTGGAATCCATATATTACCATTACATAAATCTAGATATATTGTATACATTTAATATATTTTGATATATTGTGATCATTTGAAAATTGTGAAAATATTTCTGGAAGAGTAGTATCTGTCTAACGGAAGAGTCAGATAAACTATATGTGTTTTTTTTCCTCATGCCATTCATGTAAATAAGGTTGATTTAAATATCATGGTTATGAAGTGATTTGAATTTAGGCTTGCTTGGTTCTAGTCCAATATGTTATTTTTTTTTATAACAATTTAAGCATGAGAGTATTTATGAGGAAGTAACAACAGTGCAGGTATGTGTTAGTTAGTTAGTTTGTTTATTTATATCCTGTCTTGATTAAAATCTGGAAATACCACTGAGGAAGTAATAATAATGGACAAGAAAAAAAAATTGGTTTGTTTCCCACCTCTATTAAAATTTGAAAAGACCATTGCATAGCAGTTATATTGTAAAGCATAGCCTTTATTCAAATTTGTATTTATGTGAACTAAAATTGCAAGCTAAACTGACAAATTACCTTTGTATATTCTTTTCCAAAGTGCATAGAAGAAATGAAAGAGGAAAGCAAACCTATTAAGATTGATAGGAGGTTAACTGGTGCCTATATAATTGATGAACCTCTGCAGCAAGTGAGTTGAAAAGCGTTGATTTTTAAAAAAAATTATTACTATAATGTTCTGTGAGTTCAATTATTAAATGTAAATATTTTGATAAGAGAATAATCTAAGTATTTAAATTGTACAATATATAATTTATGTTACAAGTAACATGAATGCCATGTGCAGCATGAATTCCCTGTTCTTTTCAAATCTTGAAAGGAAAATTCACAACATAATATAAAATATACCCTCTTCTGAATGTTTTTGACTTTACCCAAAAGTCTTTGACTCATGAATGTCTTGAATGTATGTCTCTTGTCAGCATTTCTCTTTCTATTGTCAAGCTAGGATGATGATAGTAGACCTCACTTAATGAGTACTTCGGGTTGTAATCATTTGAGGTTACCACAGTACTGAAAAAGTAACTACAACTAATGCCCATATGTATGACCCTGGCAACATCTCTCTATATCTGTCTGTCTGTATGTGTCTCTCCCTCTCTTTCTGTCTCTCTTGTCCTGTGTTCATCAAAATAGTTAGCATAACTTGTCCTGTGCCTGACACACACACACCTCCTTTTTTTTTTTTTTTTTTTTACATTTTTTACATTGGCAGAGCTGAGAGATTGTTTAAACAAACAAACTATTGTTGAGCTGCCTTTCTTCCTGGAATTTCCTAGCTGGTGCTAGCCACAAGTTAACAAACTCAGCTTTGTGACCTTAGCTCACTCCCAGTTGCTGCTTGTAATTGACAAGATTTTAATCAGTGTTATACTTTCAATATATTTTCAGTTCCTAAGCTGCTTGGAGCCAAGAGCATACTATACAGTCAACACTACTAACATATTTCTTTCAGTGTGTGTTCTCCATTGTATGTCTGCTTATTCTCTTGTACTCCCTTCCTGTCCAATGAATATAAATGCAAACATCAATTCTCTTTTTGTTAATTATCCTAACCTCAAGTTGAGCCCTAGGATAACTCGAAGAGTGGCAGGGAAAGAAAAGATGAAATAATATTGTAAATATTACCATGTTTCCCTGAAAATAAGCCTTTCCCCGAAAATAAGCCCTCCCCGAAAATATTTAAATGCATGCACAGCTTGTCCCCGCCATTTCCTCTGGTTAGGGAGACAGAGTTGGAAATCAGGTAAGATGCAAGAGGAGCCATGTCTTGCTCCACGCATCACAAAATAATTAGACTTCCCCAAAAATAAGTCCAAGCTCTTATTTCAGGGTTCAAAAAAATATAAAACAGGGTCTTATTTTTGGGGAAACATGGTATAAAACAGATGCAGTTATGTGATTTTCTGCTTAATGACAGTATCATTTAGCAATCAAGCTGCTGGTCTCAATTTGATTGCAAAACAAGGGCTATCTATATTACAGTAATATTTGTTTTCTACTGAGGTTATGTTGTGAATCAGTTTTAGCTTTTTTGTCTTCAGGTTCTCTGATCTGTGGGGGGGGGGAGATATTAACTCTGCCCTATAAGTTTGACGCCAACCTTGGTTAATACATTTAGCAAAGATAAATAGCAAAATTGTGTACACACACTCACACACCCAGCCATTATCCTCTGCTTATATTATTACTAGTGCCAGTTCTCCAGTGAGAGTGGAGACAGCAGCCAGGATGGGTGTACCCGCCCAATCAGGTTAAAGGACTGAGTCTGTCAATCAAGCTAAGTCCCGCCCTTGTTGCCAGGTAGACCAGCTTTTGACTCAGTCCTTTCAGTTGGATGGGCATGTGGGTCTTTAGCTCTTTTCTGGTTTCTTAAAAATCTAGCTGTGTTTTTTGAATTCTGGCTTTGAACTTGTCTTGTCTTGACCACGGATTGTTCCTCTTCCCCTCTGATCGTTTGGCTGACTTTGGACCGGTTTGACTACGTTCGTGAGTTTTTTCTCTCGCTGCTGTGCTTATTCCACCTCATTGACTGATTGCTGGCTGGTGTGTTTCTGTCATCTGCCTCCCCTGGGGGGTGAGTCGGATTGGAGTCACAGGGGCTTTTTGGACTGGACACTAAGTCCCCTTTCTTTGGTTTGAGCTGTGTTAGTCCTTGCTGCCCTCCATTCGGCTTTTTAAAGTGGCGTTTGCAGCGGCGAAGTTGCGGCGGCCATTTTGGAACATTTGAATCGTATTTTTACTGCTAAATTTCTTGCTGTGTTTTTGGACGTGGATGCCTTTCGATCGCAAGTCCTTCTGTTTACTTTGACTGTAGCGACTTTGGATTACCTGGCTCCTGCCTTTCTGGACAGTTTATTGTGTTTGGCCCTAACTTTACTCTAGAGGGGAGCGTGGGCGGAACTGCTCACTGCCTCAGGCCGCACTCTCAGTGGACCTTCGCACTCCTGTTATTGCCAGGCACTTCACTTTGATCTTGGATTCTGCAACGGACTATTTCTGAGCTGCCTAGGGGCCCTGCGTGGTTCCTAGCATTGCATCATCACTTCCTTGGCCTTGTTGCAATCCGCCATTTTGTTTCTTCTGTCAGGCCTTCGGCACGGTGGCCATTTTGTGGAGTTTCGCGCTCCCGCTGATACCTTGGCCCCTCTCTTTGACCAGCGACCATTTGTGGGGCTTTTACGCCCCCGTTGATACCTGGGCCTTTCTCTCTATCCAGCAGCCATTTGTGGAGCTTTTACACCCCCGTTGATACCTGGGCCTTTCTCTCTATCCAGCGGCCATTTGTGGAGTTTTTGCGCTCCTGTTTCCACATTGGTCTACTTGTATCCGCTGCACAACACTTGTGGAGTTTCTGCGCTCCCATTCCTGCCTAACCTACGATATTTGTTGGATTCGGCTTATTGCCTTGTGTGCCCAACTCCTGCCTCAATGCCTAAAGCCCTGGCAAAGTCTTTTCATGACCGTAGGGTCCGTAAAGATGATTATGGCCAATCAGACTCTGTGTCTGTTAATCATCCTCCAGCCCGGGAGGTCTCCAAAGAGCCATCCCCAGCTACGCATGATTCACAAACACCCCATAAGTCTCACAGACATGCTGTTCCCTCGAGAACTGAGAAGCGGAGAGACAAAGTGCTTACTAAACTTTGTGACAAGGCTTGCTTCAATCTTGCTGCAACAAGCGCTCCAGCTCCTGCTGTGATTGGATCCTTGGCCGCTGTGGGGGTCTCTCAACCCATCACACCTGATCAATTGTCGCTTCAGGACTGTCCTGTTACTATTTCCACTGCTGACCTGTGGGGTTCGGCTTCCTCACCCCAACCTAATCCCTCGGAGCCGTCTGTCTCGCAAGACTCTTCTGCTTTCTGTTGTCGACCCGCCTGGGACTGTTCCTTGTCAACTGCTTCCTGATCAACTTCAGCATCTTATCGAGGCTGCTGTGCAGAAGTCTCTGGCTGTGGGGCTCTGCCAGCCCAGCCACCATGGATCTGTATGATCCGCATCGTCTGATTCTCCAGAGCGGAGAGTCCCGGAGGGTTCCCAAGCAGCTCCAGCTCCCGACTCTCCTAAGTGTTCTCATTCGAGTCAACCATCTACTACGGCAGACGCTGATTATAGTGATTCCGGCTTGTCGGATGATGAGAACGTACTTCCGGATCAGCCGGCTTTCACCAGCCTGTTTCCACAATCGTTGTTTAAATCGTTACTCTTCAAGGCCGTCAATCCTGCTCGTTTGTCCTCGCCTATTGCTGATCCGGTTCCTGCCTCTTCCTCGGGGTCTTTGGATCCTATGTTTGCAGAGCCTTCTAGGCCGGTGACCTCAATTCCTACCCCTCCTCTCTTTTTGATGTACTAAAAAGGCAGTGGTCATCTCCAGGAACGGCACCTGTTCTTTCCTCTAACGATCATAAGAACTTTCAGGTGGCCTCTGAGTTGGACTCCCTCCTCCAGATTCCTTCTGTGGACGCTCCGGTTGCGGCATTGCTGCCCAATGCCAACATCCCCGGTGGTCCGGTTGAAGGTCTCCGTCCTGATGAGCGGCGTTCCGACTTAGTTCTACAACGAGCGCATCTGGGCTCTGCTTGGGTGATCCGAGCTGCAACCACGGCATCCTTCTTCAAATGCACCACCCTGCTATGGTTGCGACAGCTCCAAGAGAAACTGCCTCCGGAGGACATACGAGCTAGACAGGACCTTAACAAGATTGTTGCAGCTCTGCGATTTTCTGCAGACTCTGCTTTGCACGCTGTTCGATTTACATCTAAGGCTCTGGCCTCCACTGTTGCTGCTCACCGTTTGCTCTGGCTGCGCCATTGGCAGGCAGACGCCAGGCATAAGTGGCACCTGGCTTCTGTTCCTTTCGGTGGGTCCCGCTTATTTGGGGACACTTTAGAGCCCTTCCTTACCGAGACTAGGGACAAGAAGAAGGTGTTGGCTGCGGTGTATCGTAGAGAGGATTCCTGTTCACTCCTTACACCCCTCGTCCCCAGTTTCGAGGTGCTGACGGGGGGGCCTTCCCTTTTTCCACTTCACGATCCTACAATAATTTTGGCAGACAACGGGGTTCCCAGGATAGGTCTCACCGGGGTAGGTCCTTTGGGTTCAAACGGCCCTTTCAAGGGGGAGGAAGTAGTTCCATCCGGCACCGGCGCTGATTGCATTTCAGGTCCTCCCATAGGCGGCAAATTGGCCCTTTTTGTCGCCATTTGGGAGCAGACCACGTCTGACAAGTGGGTCCTGGCCAATTTAAGATCAGGGTTGGCCATTGAATTCCCCCCCCCCCGTGTACCTTTGTTTGCTATCCACGTTCTTGTAACATTGAAAAACGTGCTCTCATGGATTCTGCGGTTCAGCACCTCTCTATCAGGGCGATCCAACCTGTGCCTTCTGCCCAGAGGGGGACGGGATTTTACTCCCGAGTTTTTCGCGTGCCCAAGTCTTCGGGGGGTAGAGACCCATTCTGGACCTAAAGCGGTTGAATAAGTATGTGGTATACCGCAAATTTAAAATGCAATCATTGAAGTCTATTCTCAATGGCGTTAGAAGGGGCGATCTCCTCTCCTCTATAGACCTTACAGAGGCCTGTTTACACATTCCTATCCTCCCTTCTCACAGACAGTATCTGAGATT